TTTTATGGTTTTAGCTCTTATATTTAGGTATTTGATCTGTTTTGAGTTGTTTTTTGTATATGGTATGAGGAAGGGGTCCCACTTTATTCTTTTGCATGTGGATACTCAGCTGTCTCAGCACCATTTGTTGAAAGGAGCATTCTTTCCCCATTGAATGGTCTTGGTACACTTGTCAAAAATCAATTGCTGGCTGGACACAGTGGCTAACACCTGTAATCCCAGCATTTTGGGAGGCTAAGGTGGGAGGATCACTTGAACCCAGGAGTTCAGTCTGTCCAACACAGTGAGACCCTGTCTCTACAAAAAGTTTTTTAAAAATTAGCTGAGCATGATGGTGCATGCTTGTAGTCCCAGCTACTTGGGAGGCTGAGGTGGGAGGATCACTTAGCCCAGGAGTTTGAGGCTGCAGTGAGCTGTGTTTGTGACTGGGCAACAGAGCAAGTCCCTGTCTCAAAAAAATCAGTTGCCTATAATGTATGAATTTATTTCTGGACTTTCAATTCTATTTCGTTAATTTATATGTATGTTTTAATGCCAGTAGCACATGGTCTTGATTACTGTAGCTATATAGTAAGTTTTTAAACTGGGAGGTGCAAGTCCTCCAACTTTGTTTTTCTTTTTCAAGATTGTTGTATTTTGGGCCCCTAGCACTCCCATGTGAATTAGCTTGTCAGTTCTGCAAAGAAGCAAGCTGGGATTCTGATAGGGATTGCATCAAGCCTATAGATCAATTGGGGGAGTATTGCCATCTTAACACTATAAAGTCTTCCAGTCCACGAACATGTGATGTCTTTCCATTTATTTAGGTCTTCTTTAAGTTCTTTCAATAATATTTTATAGTTTTCAGTGTGTAAATCTTGCCCTTCTTTCATTCATTTTATTACTAAGTATTTTATTCATTTTGAAGCTATTGTAAATGGAATAGTTTCTTACTTTCACTTTTGGATTGTTAATTGCTAGCATATATGGTTAAGCTTTGTATGATCTTGAATCATACAAAATCTCATATCCTGCAACCTTGCTCTAATGGTTATGCACTAATGGTGCTCTAATGGTTTTGTTGTGAATTCTTTAATATTTTCTATGTATAAAATCATGTCATCTGCATAGAGGGATAGTTTTACTTCTTCCTTTCCAATATGGATACCTTTTATTTCTTTTTATTGTCTAATTGCCCCAGCTAGAGCATCCAGTACAATGTTGAAAAGATGTGGTGAGAAGGGAAATCCTTGTGTTGTTCCTTTCCAACTTTCAGCATTAAGTATGATGTTAGCTGTGGGTTTTTTGTGGGTGTCCTTTATCAGGTTGAGGAAGTTCTCTTCTATTCCTAGTTTGTTGAGTGTTTTTATCATGAAGGAGTGTTGAATTTTGTCAAACGTTTTTTCTGCATCTCCTGAAAAGATCATGTGGTGTTTGTTCTTTATTATATTAATATAATGCATTATATTGATTGACTTCCATTAGTTGACCAAACTTTGCATTCTTAGGATAAATCCCACTTGGCCGTGGTGTATAATCCTTTTATATGTTGCTGGATTCTACTTACTTGTATTTTATTGAGGATTTTTGCATCTATACTTATAAGAGATATTGGTCTGTAGTTTTCTTGTGATGTCTTTGTCTAGTTTTCTCATCAGAGTAATGCTGGCCTCATAAGTTCGTTCCCTTTTATTGAAAGTAATATTCCATGGAACGGATATACCACATTTTGTTTAACCATTCATCTGTTGATGAACATTTGCATTGTTTCTAGTTTCTTTCCCTATTATAACAAATCTGCAATTTATAAACTCATATTCCTCTCTCTCTGCACAACTGTGAAGGAGTTTCTCAGGGGAGGAGGGAGGAAATATCAGAGCATCTACCCATTTATTCATCTACCTACCCACTCACCCATCCACCCGTCTGTTCCTTCCTTCCTTCCTCTATTCCTTCATTTTCTCTTTCCTTTCATCCATAAATCATCCATCTCCGGGCATATAATGTCTGGGTCCATGGCAAATTGTCTTTTAGAATGAGGCAGAAAACCTGGCTGGGCTTGGTGGCTCATGCCTGTAATCCCAGCACTTTGGGAGGCTGAGGTGGGAGGATCCCTTGACCCCAGGAGTTTGAAGCCAGCCCGGGCAACATAGCGAGACCCTGTTTCTACAAAAAATTTAAAAATTTGCCGGGGCCGGGCACAGTGGCTCATGCCTGTAATCCCAGCACTTTGGGAGGCCGAGGTAGGCAGATCACAAGCTCAGGAGATCAAGACCATCCTGGCTAACATGGTGAAACCCCGTCTCTACTGAAAATACAAAAAATTAGCCAGGTGTGGTGGCACGCGCCTGTAGTTCTACCTACTCGGGAGGCTGAGGCAGGAGAATGGCGTGAACAGGAGGCGGAGCTTGCAGTGAGCCGAGATTGTTCCACTGCACTCCAGCCTGGGTGACAGAGAGAGACACCATCTCAAAAAAAAAAAAAAAAAATCCTCTTACCTCAACCTCCCAAACTGCTGGGACTACAGGCGTGAGCCACTGCACCCAGCCAGGAGATGATTTTTTTTTTTTTTTTTTTGAGACGGAGTCTCGCTCTGTTGCCCAGGCTGGAGTGCAGTGGCCAGATCAGCCAGGAGATGATTATTTTAAATGGCTAGATTCTGGAGATATTTTGAAGATAGGGACTGGATGAGTTCCCGAAAAAGAGGATGTCAGCTAGAGAAGAGGCCTGAGGACATTTCGGATTCTAAAACAAGAGAAGGGACAGGCAGATGAGTCAGGCAAGTGGGAAGGAAAGTGTGCGGATTCCTGAGTGAAGGAGTGATGGATAAAGGAGCATGTGTGAGAGTCTCTTGAAGTAAAGGAGCCCCTGGTCTTCTGGACTCTGGTCGCTAAATAGTCTTCAGAGGGTAGTTCAGCCAGACCCTGTGAATGAACCGCCAAGGAGCCCCAAAAGTGCTGCGAAGAGAGGGAGTATAAGGATATGAGTTTTAGTATGTAAAAGGTTTTCCTAAAACCTGTAGCATTTTCCGTCAGTGGAAAAAAGAAGGAAATGAAAGGAAAGGAAAGGGAAGGGAAGGAAGGAAAGGGAAGGGGAAGGGAGGGAAGGAAAGGAAAGGAGGAAAGGAAGGAAAGAAAGGGAGGGATGGGGGAGGGAAAGAAGGAAGGAAGGAAGGAAGGAAAGAGAGAAAGAAGAAACAAAAACTGTAGCAGGTTTTCTGGGTTTTTTGTTTTTGTTTTTGTTTTTGACAGGTCTGGCTCTGTCACCCAGGCTGTTAGCCAAGATAGTCTTGATCTCCTGACCTCATAATCTGCCCGCCTTAGCCTCCCAAAGTGCTGGGATTATAGATGTGAGCTACCGCGCCCGGCAGGAGGATCTCTTGAGGCCAGGAGTTCGACACCAGCCTGAGCAACATAGTGAGACCCCGACTCTAGCAAAAAAAATTCACTGACTTAAAAAAAAGAAAAACCCCAAACAAATAAAAATCACTTCCCGTGTCCCACCATCACACTTGCGTGGACCACTGCAGTGGCCTCCCCTTCACTGATCGCCTGTTTCCACCCTCGCTCTGACAGTATATTTTCCATGCAGTGGCCAGAGGGAGCCTGTTAAATCCTAAATCAGATCACGTCCCTCCTCTGTCCACAACATTCCTTCAGCTGCCTGTCACTTAGAGTAAAAGACAAAGCCCTTGCCCTGGCCTGCCAGACCCCACCCATCTATACCGCTTGCTTCCCCCACTGACTTCCTTGCTGTTCCTCACACACACCAGGCACATTCATGCATTAGGGCCTTTGCACTGGCCGATGCCTCTGCCTGGTGTGCCCTTCCTCCACTGGCTAGCTGTGTGGCTTACTCATCTCTTCAGATCTGTGCTCAAGACCCTTCTCAGTCAAACTTTCCGGGACCACCTCATTAGACATCAGAAGCTGCCCCAGCAATTTCTTTTTTTTTCAAGTCAGAGTCTCGCTCTGTCACCCAGGAAGGAGTGCAGTGGCGCGATCTCGGCTCATGCAACCTCTGCCTTTGGGTTTAAGCAATTCTGGTGCCTCAGCCTCCCGAGTAGCTGGGACTACAGACATAGGCCACCACGCCTGGCTAATTTTTATATTTTTAGTAGACACGGGGTTTTGCCATGTTGGCCAGGCTGGTCTCGAACGCCTGACCTCAGTGATCCGCCTGCCTTGGCCCCCCGAAGTGCTGGGATTACAGGAATGAGCCACTGTGTCCAACCTGCCCCAACAGTTTTTATCTGCATTCCCTCTTTTCCGTGTTTTCTTTTTCTCCAAACCATTTATCAACCTGTGACATACTTAATATTTTACCTACTTAGTTTTATTTATTTTCTATCTCTCCCACTAGAATGGCAATTCCACAAACAGAGGTATGCTTATCTCTTTTGCTCAATGCTGTCTCTCCAGTGCCTGGAACAGTGCCTGGCACACAGTAGGTGCTTAACATACATTTTTAGTTGACTGAATGATGGAGGGGCACAGAAACAGAGGAAATTTGACCTTGTCCCGCCTACCCTGCCATGAGCTATGCTTCAATTGAGATGATTTGGTTTATTTATTTATTTATTTATTTTGTGGAGGGGAGGGTTTCACTATGTTGCCCAGGCTGGTCTTGAACTCTTCGATCTACTAGATCCAAAGGTAGAAAGTGCTAAATACCCTGAGAGTGAGACTAGAGAAGGCTCTCCGGGAAGAGGTAGTATCGCCTGATGCTGGTCCTGGAAGGTCTGATGGGAATGAGAGATCCTGGGATTCTGCGAGGCCCAGGAATGGAGGAAACAGCAGGCAGCAACTGGAGGAGTGAGGTGAGTTAGGAAAGGATGAAGATGATGGCGTCACTGACAAGGAGAAATCTGTCAGGAGCCTTGAATTCCAAGGGGATGATCCTAGATTCCGTGCTCAGAGGTGTCATACCCTGGTCATAGGCCTCCGACCGAATAGCTCAGAGATCTCACACCTTACATAAACACCCATGCATGGCTCCAATACAATAACGAAGATCCCGTATTCGTAGAGAGGTTATGCATTTATTAGGCCAGCTTAGATGACATACAGACATGTAGGTTTGGTCCCAAACCTGTCTTGGGTCCCCCCTGAGCAGGATGTGTGAAGTGCCTAAGTCCTCAGTCCTCAGAGGTCTCTGGGCCTGGGTGGGGGTTTGCAGGAAGGAAAGGAGAGGGCAACATCGAGGGGGACAGAATGGAGGAGGAGGACAGAATGTGCCTCCATCACGAGGAGATGTAGTTTGACACCTCAATCAGATTTCTGTCGGGGTCTCGGAAGTAGATGGACATAATAGGCCCTTTTGCCCCTGTTCTGGGGACTGGCCCCTCCTCAATAGGGACATCACAAGCCTGAGGTGGGAAGAAAAGACAAAAGTCATTCATCAAAGTGTGTGAGACCAAAATTTAATTTTTTTTTTTTTTTTGAGACAGAGTCTCACTCTGTTGCCCAGGCTGGAGTGCAGTGGTGAGATCTCAGCTCACTGCAACCTCTGCTGCCTCCCGGGCTTAAGCAATTCTCCCACCTCAGCCTCCTGAGTAGCTGCGATTACAGGCGCATGCCTCCATGCCCAGCTATTTTTCATAGAGATGAGGTCTTGCTATGCTGCCCAGGCTGATCGCGAACTCCTGACCTCAAGTGATCTGCCCGCCTAAAGTGCTGGAATTACAGGCATGAGCCATTGCACCCGGTCTGTAAAATTTAATTCCTTATAGTGGCCCAGAAGACCTTAGAACACCACTGTATCTTTCTGACCTCATCTCCTATCATCCTCCCCCCATCACTCTGTTCCAGCCACTTAACAGCTAGATGGCCTTGGGCACGGTACCTAACTACCCTGTACCTTGGTCTCCTCATCTGTAAAATGGGAAGGATAATAGTGCCTAGTATTATCTAGTAAGTGGCAGAACCAGAATTCGAACCCAGGCAGTCTGGGTCAACGACCATACTCTGAACCCCTATGCTTCACCCATTTTCCTTCCAAACCAGTCTTTTTCACTGACACTTCCCAAAGAAGGCGTGTAGGTTATTTGCACAGAATATATGTAAGACCTCAATCCGTGTTCTGCAAAAGGGAAACTAATATCCCTTTATTTATTGTAGAGGCGGGGCCTTGCTCTGTCACCCTGACTAGTATGCAGTGGTGCGATCACAGCTCACTACAGCCTCCACCCGGGCTCAAACAATCCTCCTACCTTTTAGCCACCCAAGTAGCTGAGACTATAGGCACACACTGCTACGTCCGGCTAATTTTTTTTGTATTTTATGTAGACACAGGGTCTCACCATGTTACCCAGGCTGGTCTCAAATTCCTGGGTTCAAGTGATCCTCCCTCCTTGGCCTCCTAAAGCACTGGGATTACAGGCACGAGCCACTGTGCTCCTGGCCTTATTTTAATTTTTTAGAGACAGGGTCTTGCTGTATCACCCAGGCTGGTGTGCAGTGGCGTGATCATAGCTCACTGCAGCCTCAACTTCCTGGGCTCAAGTGACCCTCCCACTTCACCCTCTTAAGTAGCTAGGATTACGGGCATGCATTACCACGCCTGGCTAATTTTTTTATTTTTTGTGGAAATGGGATCTCACTATGTTGCCCAGGTTGGTCTGGAACTCCTGGCCCAAATGATCCTCCCACCTCAGCCTCCCAAAGTGCTGGGATTACAGGCGTGAGTGACCATGCCCAGCCAATGCCTCTTCTAGATGACATCATTTTAAGTATTACAGAGACACTGGATTAAATAACAGCAAATCAGAAATTATTCCCTCTTCAATCTTCTTTCAGTCCTTCTTGTTATACAAAGAAGGTGGATGCTAACAAGTTCTTAGTATCTCTTTAACCACCTGCTATATCTCCCTTTGTAATGTCAGGGCCAGGGAGTACAGGGAATGGAAGTGGCTAGAATCTAATGACATTGTTATGCTTTTATAGCTGTTGGTTTTTACAGTTACTTTTCCTTTATGCCAAGACATAATGGGTTTTTCATGTACTTAGATGAACATTTTCTTTTTATATAAATGTATTTAGGGCTGGGCACGTGGCTGATGCCTGTAATGCTAGCACTTTGGGAGGCCAAGGTGGGTGGAGCACTTGAGGTCAGGAGTTTGAGACCATCCTGGCCAACATGGTGAAACCCCGTCTCTACTAAAACTACAAAAATTAGCCAGGTGTGGTGGCACGCGCCTGTAGTACCAGCGACTTGGGAGGCTAAGACAGGAGAATCGCTTGAACCTGGGAGGTGCAGGTTGCAGTGACCCTGAGATCACGCCACTGCACTCCAGCCTGGGCGACAGAGCAAGACTATCTAAAAAAAAAAAAAAGTATTTAAGTGTATAAATGTAGGTTTTTTTGTTTCTTGTTGGTTTGTTTTACAATGGGGATGCTTAGTTTCCTTTTTAAATACATTTATTTACATGAAAAAATTATGTCAGTCAAAATAGTGAGTACATAACTGTGTGCAGACATTATCTGGTTGTGGTAAAACTCGTTACCTCTCTGGGTCATGCTTCTGTTTTCACTGTGTTTGCAGCAGCTTTTGCAAAAAGAAGAGAAGTCCCACTCACCTTGAGGTGCTGGATCATTTCCTCCAAAGGCACCTCTGTTATCAGACATATGTCCAGGGAGCCAGGAACCGGGTGAGCGGCTTTGGGTTCAAATTCCTTTCCCACCTCGTGGAGGTTAAATTTCTGGTCTCCAAAACACAGTGCTTTCCGGTCTTCCTACTTGGCGGGGAAGGGCAGAGACAACAGCCTAGAATTAAACCTCCAAGGTGAGTGTGAGATGAAGCCTTTCCACCCATCCCAACAAGGTTTTAAAAAAATAAAAACTAGAATGGGGCTAACTATACAACAACCTTTTGCCCCACCCAAGTCTCATTCCCTAGAGGCAAGTGTACGAGTTCATTTCTCCCTGAAATTATTTCCGTATCTCCAAATAGTGCTTATACCACCCAAGGCAGAGATAGCAATTTGCCTACCGAGTATACATTTCCCCTTTATTTCTTATAAACAACAGAAATTTCAGTGGGGTCAACTGTGTGCCCAACTTAAAAAACCTACATTTCCCAGCACGTCCGGAGGCCACGTTAGCTGGACTGGGTAATGAGATGCAGGCAGAGGTGTGGGTGGGGCTTCCGGGAACCTCCCTACCCCACTGTGCTGGCTCTTATTGCCCATTCACTTCCTCTTGCTTCCCAGCCACTGCCCATGACCTGACTACCTCTGGACTGGTTGTTCAGTGAGAGGAAAAGAAAACTCTGTCTTGTTTAACCCACAGTTAGTTAGTTGAGTTTTCTCCTATGTGCCTCCAAAGTCCCTAACTGATGCACCACTGTTTATTTATTTATTTATTATTATTTTTTGAGACAGAGTCTTGTTCTGTTGCCCAGGCTGGAGTGCAGTGGCACAATTTTGGCTCACCGCAACCTCCACATTCCTGGTTCAGGTGATTCTTGTGCCTCAGCCTCCGGAGTAGCTGGGACTACAGACGCACGCCACCATGTCCAGCTAATTATTATATTTTTAGTAGAGATGGGGTTTTCTATGTTGGCCAGGCTGGTCTCGAACTCCTGACCTTAGGTGATCTGCCCACCTCGGCCTCCCAAAGTACTGAGATTACAGGCGTGAGCCACTGTGGCTGGTCTTTTTTTTTTTTTTTTTTTGAGACAGGATCTTGCTCTGTTGCCCAGGCTTCAGGGCAGCGATCATGGCTCACTGCAGCCTCAACCTCCCAGGCTCAAGTAATCCTGCAGCCTCAGCCTCTGAGTAGCAGGGACCACAGGCACACCCCACCATGCCTGGCTAATTTTTTTATTTTTTGTAGAGACCGGGTCTCCCCATGTTGCCCAGGCTGGTCTCGAACTCCTGGCTCAAGTGATCCCCACCTCAACCTCCCAAAGTGCTGGCATTACAGGTGTGAGCCAGTGTGCCCAGCCGCATCACTATTTCTTGATTTAGCAACTTGAGATATTTCCTATCATCTCCCTGCTATGATAAATGAGAATTTAGCTCATTCACATTACTACCTCTTCCAACACAATTTGATTATCATTTTTAGTTTCTCTTTTAGCTCCTTTACAATCTTTAAATAACCCACTTGCATGTTTATTTTATTTATTTAATTTTTTTAAGAGACAGAGTCTCGTTCTGTCACCCAGGCTGGAGTGCAATGGTGAATCTTGGCTCACTGCAACCTCTGCCTCCTGAGTTCAAGCGATTCTCCTGCCTCAGCCTCCCGAGTAGCTGGGACTACAGGCGCAAGCCACCATGCTTGGGTAATTTTTGTAGTTTTAGTAGAGATAGGGTTTCAGCATGTTGTCCAGGCTGGTCTTGAACTCCTGACTTCAAGTGATCCACCCATCTCAGCCTCTCAAAGTGTTGGGATTACAGGTGTGAGCCACCACGTCTGGCCGATTTTATTTCACTTTTGGACTTGAAGATAGTTTGGCTCAGTGTACAATTGTAGGTTGCAGCTTATTTTCCCATAGCCTTTTAAATATGTTGCTTCATTGTCTTCCCCAAATGTGGTGTTGCTGTTAAGAAGTCTGATGTTCATCTGCATTTTCTATTATTTGGTTGGTGATACATCCATCTTCCACTACTGCAGCTTTAGGATTTTTCTTAATCCTAATGTTCTGAAATTTCACTCCATTGTGTCCAAGTACAGAGGTTGAGGCATCATACACCTCGTTGTCACCATTGGCCCACGCAAGGACTATCTCTTGTTTTATTTATCTTTTTCTCTTCATTCTCCATTCCCATCTCTACCTTAAGCAACCATTATAATGTGTTTGATGTGTATCCTTGGGTTTTCATAAATTGCTGTAAAAAGTGTGTTACTGTTTTATGTGTGTGTATTGTAAAGGGTAGCATGCTGTAGACCTGATTGTTTCTTCATTTTTCACTCAGCACGTTCTTTTCAAGACCCATTCATGTTGCTGTGTACACATCCAGTCTGATGTTGCATAATACTACATTTCTGCATAAGGTTCCATGTTAGATTTAACATTTTTACCCAAATAGAAAAAATTGGCCAGATGTGGTGGCACGTGCCTACAGTCTCAGCTACTCAGGAGGGTGAGGCAAGAGAAGCACCTGAGTCCAGGAGGTTCAGGCTGTGGTGAGCCATGATCGCAACACTGCAGTCCAGCCTGGGCAACAGAGCGAGACCATGTCTAAAAAAATTTTTCTTCTCCTGTTTGTGATTCCTCGAGCCCTTTCTATTTAAGTTATATGTGTGTGTGTGTCGGGGCGGGGGAGGTGTTCATGTGTACTTAATTGTTTTAGAGCGGTTTTAGGTCCACAGCAAAAGTGAACAGAAGGTATAGGGATATATACACCTTGCCCCCACATATGCACAGCCTCCCCCACTTCTTTTACTTAGTAATAGGCACTTAAGTTTCCTCCATGTCTTTTCATGGATTGATAGTCCATTTATTTTATTTAATTAATTTATCTATTTGAGACAGAGTTTTGCTCTGTCACCCAGGCTGGAGTGCAATGGCGCAATCTTGGCTCACTGCAACCTCCGCCTCCTGGGTTCAAGTGATTCTCCTGCCTCAGCCTCCTGAGTAGCTGGGATTACAGGCACCCGCCACCATGCCTGGCTAATTTTTGTATTTTTAGTGGAGATGGGGTTTCACCATGTTGGCCAGGCTGGTCTCAAACTCCTGACTCAGGTGGTCCACCCGCCTCAGCCTCCCAAAGTATTGGGATTACAGGCGTGAGCCACCGCACCTGGCAGATAATCCATTTATTTTTATCACTGAATAATATTTCATTGTCTGGATGTGCCACAGTTGATATAGCCATTCACTTACTGAAGCACATCTTAGGCATTTTTTGCTTTCTTTGCATTTGCCTTTTTTGAAGTTGTTCCAAATTCTCAAGGATAGTTCAATCTCTGGAAACCTCTTTTTTCCCTTAGATCTGTCTTTCCTGGGGTCTTTCTTACACCTGTACCAAACTGGACTGATTGTTCTCTAAGTGCCTTTCTGGGATCCTCCTCTTGGGATCTGTTGTGGCCTGACTTCCATATTCTGAGATTAGTCATCTTTTTTTTTTGAAATGGAGTCTTGCTTTGTCATCCAGGCTGGAGTGCAGTGGTGCAATCTCGGCTCACTGCAACCTCTGCCTCCCAGAATGCTGGGATTACAGGCGTGAGCCACCGTGCCCGCCAGTCCCCCATTTTGATATAGCATACCCTTAAGTAATTTTCAAAGCAAGTGGGAAATTTTCTAAGACTTCGCATGACTAAAAATGCTTTTATTCTACATTTACCTTTTTGTTTGTTTGTTTGTTTGTTTTTGATACAGTCTTGCTCTGTCACTCAGACTAGATAGTGCTGTGGTGCAATCTCGGCTCACTGCAACCTCTGCCTCCCAGGCTCAAGCAATTCTCATGCCTCAGCCTCCCAAGTAGCTGGGATTACAGGCGTGCACCAGCATGCATGGCAAATTTTTGTATTTTTAGTAGAAACGAGGTTTTGCTATGTTGGTCAGGCTGGTCTCAAACTCCTGACCTGAAGTGGTCCACCCACCTCGGCCTCCCAATGTGCTGGGATTACAGGCATCAGCCACCACACCTGGCCCCTACATTTACCTTTGGTTAATAGTTTGGTTGGACATAGAATTCTAGGTGGAAAATTTTCCCCTCAGAGTCTTGAAGGTGTCCTTTTATCTTTTGGTCTCTGGTCTCTTGGAAAATCTGATATTTGTTTGTTTTTGTTTTCCTTTGTAGATAATCTACTTTTTAATCTCTATGAAAGCTCTTAGCATCTACTTTTTCAGTTTGATGTTCTATAATTTCATAAGGATCCATTTAAGTGTCAACATGCTGGATACTTGGTCAACCTTTTTCATGTGGCGACTGCAGAGTTCTCTTGTATTGTTTCTATGATAATTTCCTCCTCTCCTTTTTCTCCATTGTCTCTCTGGAAGCCCATATATTCAATCTGGAATCTCCTCTATTGATCTCTTTATATTTTCTCTCAGATTTCCCGTGGTTTTCCTTTTAGAGTTAAGTTATATGTTAAAGTGTTATCAACAAATTTTAGCCCACCTGAATTTTGGCATTTGGGAAAGTGGTTACCTTAAAAGTCACAACCTCCATGCCCAGGATCTTGGAATAAAACTTGGTGGTGTCTTCGATGCTCTTCACCGTCATCACGATGTGGTCAAGTCTACGGATAAGACATGGGGGAGGGGTCTGACTGCTGTCCCTCCACGACTAAAAAAAGAAAAAAAGTCAGAGGAGACCACATTGCCACTTGTCACGTCCATGTTTTCTTCTCCTTACCTCCCCCTACCTCCCCAATTACTCTACTTCCTCCTCACCCTCTTTCAAGGGGAAAGGCCTGAGAGAATACTTATTGGTAGAGTCTTACTGCCCATGTGTGGATTCACGAGAGCCCACCTGTCTGCCATGACCACTCTCCACTGTTTTCTTGTTCCCTTTCTTTTCTTTTTTTCCTTTTTTTTTTTTTTTTTGAGACAGAGTCTCACTCTGTTGCCCAGGCTGGAGTGCAGTGGCACAATCTCAGCTCACTGCAACCTCCGCCTCCTGGCTTCAAGCGATTCTCCTGCCTCAGCCTCCTGAGTAGCTGGGACTACAGGTGTGCACCACCATGCCCAGCTAATTTTTGTATTTTTAGTAGAGATGGGGTTTCACCATTTTGATCAGGCTGGTCTCAAACTCCTGACCTGAAGTGATCTGCCTGCCTTGGCCTCCCAGAGTGCTGGGATTACAGGGGTGAGCCACTGCACCTGGCCTTCTTGTTCCCTTTCTCCTCTTCTAGAAGTGAAGATTAGTGGAGTGGAGACCAAGACAATGCCCTCCCTGTTTTCCCCTAAATAGAATTCATCTCTTTTCCAAGAAGTGACAAGACACAGAGGAGGCCCAGTTCTGTGAATTGGCCAATTTTACCCAGCCCCCTCCTTCCTCATTCTGCAGCTTCAGTCACAGAGAACAGGACAAGAAGGGGGCATCTCAGAAGAAATGAAGGTTTCTGGGCATGCGTGTTTACAGATCCACCTTGACACCCAGTGGGAGGACTACTACCATCCCTTCCACTTTCCCGCTGTCAGCATACTTCCCATCAGATCTTTCTCTTGACTTGAATTATTTAGTAATTTGTGTATTTACAGTATCTCTGCTACAGGATTATAAAGCACCTGTGGTCTGGCACTATAAGCAATGGAGTATAATGCTTAAAAGAATAGATTCTGGCGGTGGCGCCTGGAATCTCAGCACTTTGAGAGGCTGAGGCAGGCAGATCCCTAGAACCCAGGAGTTTGAGATCAGCCTGGGCAACACAGTGAGACCCTGTATCTACAAAAAAATACAAAAATTAGCTAGGTTGGGGGACGCTCACGTGTAGTTCCGGTTACTTGGGGGCCTGAGGTGGGAGGATCACTTGAGCCTGGGACCAGAGATTGCAATGATCTATGATCACGCAACCAAACTCCTGGGTGACAGAGCAAGACCATGTCTCAAAAAATAAATAAATAAATAAATAAATAAAAATAAAAGATTCTGAAGCCAGACTGACATTTAAATAATTTCTCTAATTTCTCTGTGCCTTGGTTTCCCCTTCTATAAAATGAGCATGATTTTATACATATAGGAGTATTGTGAGAGTTTTTAAAAAGTACTGTTTTTAAGGGCATAGAATAATGCCCGATACGTATCAAGTGCTATAAAAGGATTGATGATGATGATGTGTAGTTATCTTCTTAAAATCTAGACTCAGTTACAATGACCCCCTATCTCTACAGTCTCATCCATTGCTCTTGAACTCCAATCTACACTGTCCTTTTTCCTGTTCCTCATAAGGACCACCCTTGTACCTTTCATTTCAGGGCCTTTGCAGATGATAATGCCTGTCTCCCTGACTAGAATGTAAGCTTCATAAGAGCAGGGGCTTCTGTTTGTTTTGTTCCCCACTCTTTCCCAAACAACTGGTTCAATCATATTTGTTCAATAAATAAATATCTACTGGAACAACTAGGGACAGTGCTTGGCACAAAGTCTGACTAATTTCTATTCTGTTCTATTCAATTCAATTGGACTCCATTCTACCCTTTGCTATTTTATTATTTTCTATTCCACTGCGTTTAGTTCCATTGAAACCAGCCCATTTTAAACAATTGATTTCACTGAGCTCCAGCTAAAAAAAAATCCTGTACCATTCTATTTTCCTGAGCGGAGGAGGCATTAGCGAAGTTGCTGAGTTCTGCTCTTCCAGTGGATACAAAAGATCCACATGGACATAGGAACTGTAGAAAGAGAAAATGACCAACATTTTGGCTCCATTGAAAATAAAGTCATATGTTGAAAACAATTTTATTAACTTTCTTTTTTAATTCCCTTTTTGAGACAGGGTCTTGCTTTGTTGCCCAGCCTGGAGTACAGTGGCATGATCACAGCTCACTACAGCCTCAACCTCCTGGACTCAAGCAATCCTCCTACTTCAGCCTCCCTAGTAGCTGGGATTACAGGTGTGTGCCACCATGCCCAACTATTTTTTGTTTTCTTTTTTCATTTTTTTGTAGAGGTGAGGGCTCACTGTGTTTCCCAGGCTGGTCTTGAACTCTTGGGCTCAAGCGATCCTCCCTCCTCAGCCTCCCAGAGTGTTGGGATTACAGGCATGAGCCACTGCACCCAGCCCTTATTAACCTTCTAACATCTATAGAATCTGTCACATGGCCGGGCGCGGTGGCTCACGCCTGTAATCCCAGCACTTTGGGAGGCCGAGGCGGGCGGATCACAAGGTCAGGAGATCGAGACCATGGTGAAACCCCGTCTCTACTAAAAATACAAAAAATGAGCTGGGCGCGGTGGCGGGCGCCTGTAGTTCCAGCTATTCGGGAGGCTGAGGCAGGAGAATGGCGTGAACCCAGGAGGCGGAGCTTGCAGTGAGCCAGGATCGCGCCACTGCACTCCAGCTTGGGCGACAGAGCGAGACTCCGTCTCAAAAAAAAAAAAAAAAAGAATCTGTCACAATACCCTATTTACTTTCCTGATAATTGGCAATCTATATATTTTCTCTTAATTTCTCGAGATAAAATAGACATTGCTAATATTTTATTATTCTGTTCAAAGAATCAACTTTTGACATTGTTGGCTTTATTGTATGTTTGTTTTCTATTTCACCAGTTTCTGCTGTTATAATTTCTTTCCTTCTACTGTCTTAGGTTCCATTTGCCATTCTTTTCCCAGTTTCTTGATAGGGAAGCTCAGGTCATGATTTTCAACTTTTCTACTTTTCTGATCTATGCATTTAGAACTATAGATTTTCCCTAAGCACTGCGTTGGCCACATCCGTATCATTTTGATAGTCTATTGGAAATAAACTCCACCTATTCCTCCCATTATTCAGTTCCCTGCCAGCTCAGATTCACTCCCCAGATCCTGCTTTGTGGACTCGGAGCTCCATCCTTGCAAATTCAAGGATGAGCAGGGATGGCTCTCTTCAAGAACAGGAAGGCCAGCGTGGCTCAGAACCCAAGAGTGAGTAAGAGATGAGTGGGAGGACAAGGCAGGGTCTGGATCCTGCGGGGTCTTGGAGGTGAAGTTACAAAGCCTGCTTTATAAAATGATGATCAAGACATAGTCATCACACAAAGGACTGAGTGCGGTGGCTCACACCTGTAATCCTAGCACTTTGGGAGGCTGAGGTGGGTGGATTACATGAGGTCAGGAGTTTGAGCCTGGCCTACATGGTGAAATCCTGTCTCTATTAAAAATACAAAAATTAGGTGGGCATGGTGGTGTGCGCCTGTAATCCCCTATTAGGGAGGCTGAGGCAGAAGAATCGCTCGAACCTGGGAGGCAGAGGTTGCAGTGACCTGAGATTGCACTGCTGCACTCCACCCTGGGCAGCAAGAGCAAACCTCGGTCTCAAAAAAAAAAAAAAAAAAAAAAAGGCCTAGTAATCACACAAGGCTTACTGTGTGCCAAGCCCTGTTTTACACACTCTACAAAAATGTAATCCATTTCATTTCTCACCACAACCTATAAAATCCCTATAGTCAGAGTACCCAGAACACCATGTCCTTCCTCCTTTGGCCTCCTCCACAGGGAATGATTCTGTCTTCCTACAGGGTCCTCTTCAAGGTCCCCTTCAGGTTGCCAGGGGCCTCTGAATTCCTCTCCTAAAGCTCAAGGTCAGCGCTGTGTTTCTTAGCCTCTCTCCACACGGCCTTAATCATGACAGCTTCAGGGACACCCTGCGTGAGTCATCTTTGTATCTCTCCACCTGTCCCTGGTAAACTGGGGGAGGAGCCAGCCCTCAGCCCTGGCCCAGCCCTGCACACCTGAGCACAGGGCCCTCCGTGGCTTAGAGCCGGGCCTTTCCATGGGCCTCTGCTGCCCTCTGCTTGTCTCTGAAAGAGAAAGGGAGAGAGGAGGACAGGAAATGGAAGCCGGTAGAGAAGGGAAACAGGTTACTAGACTAGCTTCAGTGTCAACACCCTTGCCCCAGAACCCCAGCGGCCACTTTGTTCACCTGTTTCTCCAAAATCCTGCCCCACATCTTGACTGGCAGCCTGGAGGGCAGATGGCGCAGCATGGCAGGGTAGGTGTCTTTGTCCAGGGGCCTCCCGACAACCCTCTGGCTCAGCACCTGGAGATCAAGGGGCAGGAATGGGAGGGCACAGGCTGAGGACTGTGGGAGGTGACACAGGTAGGTGGTGCAAATGGAAGGACTTTGACATTAAACTCAGGGCCTCGAAATTAAAAGCTTAAAGTGGATGTGTAAGGGATTACTTCTTGTTAACATTGAAGGCTGGGTGCAGTGGCTCACACCTGTAATCCCAGCACTTTGGGAGGCCAAAGCAGGTGGATCACCTGAGGTCAGGAGTTCAAGACCAGCCTGGACAACATAGTGAAACCCTATCTTTACTAAAAATACAAAAATTAGCCGGGTGTGGTGACATGCGCCTGTAATCCCAGCTACTTGGGAGGCTGAGGCAGGAGAATCGCTTGAATCCGGGAGGCGGAGGTTTCAGTGAGCCGAGATGGCACCATTGCACTCCAGCCTGGGCAACAGAGCGAGACTCCATCTCAATAATAATAATAATACTGAAAAACCACCAAGTATTAAGGGGATCTTTATTCTAGGGTGTGATGCCTCTGTTCTACTTAGGGGTATGTCTCCAAAGTGTGAGATCTGTGAGCTGTTTGAGAGTGTGTGTCAGGGGTGTGAAGTTGTGAGCTATCTGAGTTAGTATGACTGCTCTGACCTATTATGGGTCTGTTTCCAAGCCAAGATCCCTAAACTCTTAAGAGTTCTGAGCCCCTTGGCCAAGCACGGTGTCTGACGCCTGTAATCCCAGCACTTTGGGAGGCCAAGGTGGACGGATCACTTGAGGCCAGGAGTTTGAGACCAGCCTGGCCAACATGGTAAAGCTCCATCTCTACTAAAAATACAAAAATTAGCCGGGCATGATGGTGTGCACCTGTAGTCCCAGCTATTCAGGAGCCTGAGGCAAGAGAATAGTTTGAACCCGGGAGGCGGAGGTTGCAGTGAGCTGAGATTGTGCCCTTGCACTCCAGCCTGAGCGATAGAGTGAGACTCTGTTTAAAAAAAAAAAAAAAGTTCTGAGCCCCAGGGTGTGATGTTCCTGAATTATTTTGGGGGATGAGTTTTGGGGGATGAGATTTGCAGTCTTCCTCCTCCTCCCCACTCACCCTCACTTTCCACTGCTGAGAGTCAGAGAACATTCATCAGCCCGGTTGTTGTTCACTTTACCCTGAGCTGAGCTGCTGAGCTCCCCATCTGTCTTACAAGTTACCTGTCAGGCCCCTGGAGCATGTGAGTTTGAGATTTTTGTTTCTAGTTACCCCCAACACAAACACTTTGTGTTGTGGATATTGTTTTGTTTTTGTTTTTTTGAGACAGGATCTCACTTTGTCACCCATGCTGGAGCCCACTGGTGCCATCATGGCTCAGTGCAGTCTCAAACTCCTGGGCTCAAGGGATCCTCCTGCCTCAGCCTCTTGGGTAGCTGGGACTACAGGTGTGCGTTACCACACCTGGCTAATTTTTGTATTTTTAGTAAGGATGAGGTCTTGCTATGTTGCCTACAATTGGCCTCCTTTGGCCTCCTGAAGTGTTGGGGTTACAGGCATGAGCCACCGCGCCCGGTCAGATATTGTTTTTAAGCATATGATTTTCCTTTAAAAAGAGTTACACAAATAATATGTGAATACAGGTTTGTATAAAAGATTTGAAAAACAGGCCGAGGGCAGTGGCTCACACCTGTAATCCCAGCACTTTGGGAGGCTAAGGCAGGTGGATCAATTGAGGTCAGGAGTTCGAGACCAGCCTGGCCAATATGGTGAAACCCTATCTCTACTAAAAATACAAAAATTAGCTGGGCATGGTGGCACACACCTGTAATCCCAGCTACTCGGGAGGCTGAAGCACGAGAATCACTAGAACCCGGGAGGCAGAGGTTGCAGTGGGCTGAGATTGTGCCACTGTACTCCAGCCTGGACGACAGAAGGAGACTCTTTCTCTTAAAAAAAAAAAAATTTGGACAACACATCAGTACATGGACTCTAGCAATCATCTCCACCCTCATTTCCCCAAAATGACCACTGGGGTCAAATTCTGGTGTTTCCTTCCAGATTCAGTTCTCTGTGTTTACATAGTGTGTGTGTGTGCACACTACACAGATGCACTAGGTCACTGTAACTGACTCCCCCTTGCTTTTCCCTGCCTGTAGCACATCCTGTAGAAGGTAACCCCCACCCCCACAGGTACACACAAGTCCCATCCATTCTGTGTCATGTCCAGTGGGCACTCTGTGCTGTAACATGAACCCCCTATTATTCGTTTCACTCTGTAATAGTCCTTGGCTATCAGTGAACATTTATAAGATTTTCCTAGTTGTTTACTTCTACCAGCCTTGTTCTGACAGCTCTGTGCACATGTCCGAGTACTAGAATTAGAAGTGGAATTGCTGGGTGTATTAGTCAGAGTTCTCTGGAGAAACAGAACCAGTAGGAGAAACAGAACCAATATGTAATATATTATAAGGAATTGGCTCATGTGATTTTGGAAGCTGAGAAGTTCCACAATCTGCTATCAGCAAGCTGGAGACCCAGGAGAGCCAGTGGTGTAGTTCCAAGAACCAAAGGGCTGATGGTGTTGGCTGGGCATGGTGGCTCACGTTTGCAATCCCAGCACTTTGGGAGGCCAAGGCGGGCGGATCACTTGAGGTCAGGGGTTCAAGACCAGCTTGACTAACATGGCAAAAGCCCATCTCTACTAAAAATACAAAAATTATCCGGGCCTGGTGGTGCATGCCTCTAGTCCTAGCTACTTGGGAGGCTGAGGCAGGAGAATCGCTTGAACCTGGGAGGTGGAGGTTGCAGTGAGCCAAGATTGTGCCACTGCATTTCAGCCTGGGTGACAGAGCGAGACTCCATCTCTAAAAAACAAAACAAAACAAAACAACAAAGGGCTGATGGTGTAAGTACCAGCCAAGGACAAAGGACTGGTGTTCCTCCTCAAGCAGTCACAGAGCAAATTCCACCTTCCTCCATCTTTTTGTTCTATTCCAACCTTCAGTGGACTGGGTGATGCCCATTTACACTGGGCAGAGCCATCTGCTTTACTCAGTCCAACAATTCATTTGCTAACCTCATCTGGAAACACCCTCACAGATCCCCCCAGAAATAACATTCAACAGGGCACCGTGTCCCTATCAAGTTGACACATAAAATTTACCATCACAAGTCCACCCCTTGTCAACTGTCCTTTTCCACTGTCCTTCAGAGATGTCTCAGAAAGGGGTCATAGTGTTTCAGTTGTCTGCTTTCAGAGCGTGCCTGCATAACATGCAGAACCATCTGTAAACCATGCCCAAGTCTTCTCTTTCTCTGTCAACTAATTGTAGGGAACTCACCATGAGGCCACAGGTTCAGGCTGGGAGAAACGAGGCAGGGTGGAAGGAGTGGGGACCATGGGCATTTAGGCCTCTTCCTCATGTAACTTACTTGTGTCTTCAGGGCCTGCTTAGGCCCCATCACATATTTCCCATTTCCATTCGACGATGGAGCGCTGCTGTGCACACCGACTCTTGGTTAGTTGGGTAACACCCAGTTCATGATGGGCAGGAATGTAACTTGGTGGCCCATGGTCAAGTATTTAGTTTCTACTAAGACCCAGTAGCAGATCAACAGCTATTTCTCTCTTTCTCTCTCTTTTTTTTTTTTTTTTTTTTGAGACAGGGTCTCACTTTGTCACCCAGGCTGGACTGCAGTGGCACAATTACAGCTCACTACAGCCTCGACCTCCTGGGCTCAAGCAATCTTCCCACCTCAGCCTCCTGAGTAGATGGGACTACAGGCATGCACCACCCCACCCAGCTATTAATACTTTTTGTATTTTTTTGTAGAGATGGATTTTTATTTTTTATTTTTTTTTTGAGACAGAATCTCGCTCTGTTGCCCAAGCTGGAGTGCAGTGGCGCTATCTCGGCTCACTGCAAGCTCCGCCTCCTGAGTTCACACCATTCTTCTGCCTCAGCCTCCCAAGTACTGGGACTACAGGCGCCTGTCATCAGGCCCGGCTAATTTTTTGTATTTTTAGTAGAGACAGGGTTTCACCGTGTTAGCCAGGATGGTCTCGATCTCCTGACCTCGTGATCCGCCCACCTCGGCCTCCCAAAGTGCTGGGATTACAGACGTGAGACACTGCGCCTGGCCTAGAGATGGATTTTTGCCATGTTGCCCAGGGTGGTCTCAAACTCCTGTGCTCGAGAGAGATCTGCTGGTCTCAACCTCCCAAGGTGCTGGGATTAAAGGAGTGATCCACCACGCCCAGCCAAGAGCTGTTTCTTAAAAGGAGGGTAGTTATCTGCAGAGAATAGTAGGGCTTTGCTCCAAAATCCTAAAGGAGGCTCACCAAGTTTCATTTGGGAGGCTGAGACGGGTGGATTGCCTGAGCCCAAGAGTTCGAGACCAGCCTCGGGAACATGGGGAAACCCTATCTCTACAAAAATTACAAAAGTTAGCCAGATGTGGTGGTGCACACCTGCACTCAGTCCCAGCTACTAGGGAGGGTGAAGTGGGAGGATCACTTGAGCCTGAAAGGTCAAGGCTGCAGTGAGCTGTGATTGTGCCACTGCACTCCAGTCTGGGTGACAGAGCAAGACCCTGTCTCAAAAAATAAAGTAGAACAAAATCCTAAAGGGCTAGGCTGTGATTAACCTATAGGATATATATATATATATATATATATATATATATATATATAGCGCCAAGAGCTCCAAACAGTATCCCTATCTGCCACTGTCACTTCAAGCACCACTGGATCTGCTAGGTCCTATGGCCCAAGTGGCAAAGCAGCTTGCACAGCAGCCTGGACGTGTTGTAGAGCCTTCTCCTGTTCTGGGCCCCACATAAGACTTGCAGCTTTTCATGTCATTTGGTAAATGGGCCTGTGTAACACATCCAAATGAGGAATGTGTTGCCTCCAAAATCCAAATAGGCCTGCTAGGCATTGTGCCTCTTTTTTGGTTGTAGGAGGGGCCAGATGCAACTACTTATCCTTCACCTTAGAAGGAATATATTGACTGGGCACAGTGGCTCACGCCTGTAATCCCAGCACTTTGGGAGGCCGAG